TGAGTCAAATTTTCAGACTAACAAGACAAATAATCTTACACATTCTGAAAACAAGATGATTATTCTTACACAATCAGTTCTTGTTTAGTAAATCAGTSTCAAAACAAGATCAAAAATACTTTTTTGGCTGATAWAAGAGTTTAAAACTTGGTAAGATGGACATTTTTTGCAGTGTAAGAGCTGAACTCGAAATTTCATGTGGTTTTTATTAAAGTGACAGCCACGGATCCAATTTATCACCTTTCAATCCCTCCTTTAACTATCCATCTTACCATGAGGGCTGCTCTTAAACCCCACTGAGTGAGCATTTTTAGACTGAGACCAAAATAAAATCTCATGAACTCTGTTCGGGTCGGCATTTTTTTCTTTGAAACCTTTGGAAATGGGGCTGCAGATTTGATTTGCATAYGCAGACAGCTTGCAGACAGGGTGCCGCGCTAATGCTACTGTAGAACAAGACTTAATGTCATGTTGCTGTCAAACATGGAGACAGAGACGCAGCTAAGTCAATTTCACATCGTCACAGAAAAATGTTTGAAAAAAACACACACACACACAAACACACACGCTGCAGTCTGTGGAGCTTCGCCTTATGTCACGGCCCGGCCTGTTTACCGAGGAGCTGCTCAGTCAACCAGAAACCTGATGGGTTCAACAGATACAAGGAAAACCTTGCTGCACGGCAAGGTCAAGTCAACTGGGTGTGTGTGTGAAAGAAAAAAAAACACACACACCTTGAGTCTTAAACATAAGGAGAGTCCCATCGAAGTGTGTGAGTTTGTGTGGAACCTSAGGGGGAGCCGGAGAGCCAAGGCAGCACTTCTGTCGAAGCCATCTTTTAACTTATCTGACCGCTCTGGGCTCTGCGTGTGCACCTTAGCCATTATGTGTGTGTGAGTGTGTGTGCTGGAGAGGCATAGGGAATGTTAGTATGATTAATAAAACAGTCCGGCGCTCTTATTAAAGATGCACAGATGTGGAAAAAAAAAGGGGGGAAGGTAGCAATGAGGGAAATGGGAGAAAGGGTCAGAGAGGAGAGAATGGGGTTATCAGACTGATGGAGTGAGAGGGCTGGAGGTGGAAAGTGGTGGGAAAATGTAGAAATTATACGAAGGAGTTGAAAAAGAGGTGAATGACTTATAATGGAGGGATGAAGCGAACGAGGCACGGCGCCGTAAGGGGGGAGAGGGGAAAATGAGATGACAGGGATTGAGAACAGGGAGACTTTTGCCGGGACATTAGTGGAAAATAAAATGTATGATAGATTAAAAAAAAAGAGGGCAGAGAAAGGGCAAGGATATGAGCTGCCGTTTGTAAAGTTACACAGTTAAAAATTACCACCAATATTTTTGTTTTTTTTAGCCTTTTATAAGTAAAAAAAGAACAGATTTATTTTTCAAAGTCAGTTTTTCACCATATGATTCATACATTTATAAATGTCATAGTTTATACTAAATATTTAACTTACAAATTAAATATTTAGTTAACAAGCTAAATATTTCACTTTTGACTTAAATATTTAGTTTTAAGCTAAATATTTCACTTGCAACTTAAATATTTAGCTAGCAGTTTAAATATTTAGCTAGCTACCTAAATAGTTAGGTTGCAACTTAAATATTTAAGCTGCAAGCTAAATATTTACCTCACTAAATAGTTAAGTCACATGTTAAATGTTTAACTTGTTAACTAAATATTTAATTTGTAAGTTATATATTTAGTTTATAAACTGACATTTATAAATGTATGAATCATATGGTGAAAAACTGAGAGAAAAATAAATCTGTTCTCTTTTTCTTTTAAAAGGCTAAATAAAACAAAAATGTTGGTGTAATTTTTGACTGTGTAACTTTACAAATGGCACCCCATACAAGGCGGTTGATACAAGTGAGATCATTATGAGAAATGCTTAAAGAAGAAAATAAAATTAGAAATATTATAGAAGGAATAAAACTTCAAAGCTGAAATAAAAATGCGCTTTTTTTTTGTCTGGAAGTGAAGAAAAGACGTTAGAAAGTAGAGTAAACTTGGTAAACTAGGTTACAGAAAGTGAAACTGTTAAACCTAACATTTTTCCCCTAAACTCTAATTAAGACGGTACACACTCGGTTCAGATCAGAGTAAAAATCCTTGCATCACGGTTGCTTCCAGTGGTTCCTCGCAGCGCCGGGATGTGAAATATTCCACCACGAGACAAACGCTTTGTTGTTAATTAGCTCAAGAAGGCTTTGTGCCGAGGAAGGTCAACATCTCAACATGACAGTGCTTTCTGTTCCTCGTTTGAAAGATGAGAAACTTGTTAAAAAATGAGGGGAAATCTGGACGTGGAGCAGACAGGATTCAGAGACGTTAGTCCTGTGAATGGGTCCTGACCCTGAGGAAGTTTTAAAAGATGGGAAGTCTGTGTGAAACACAGATGAACAACTGTTTGGGTTGACTTAGAATCAAGCTGCGTGACTTTTAGACATTTGATTAGTCAGAGATTTATCATTTTATCTGACTGCTTATGCTGATGCACAGATGAGGTGGAGATGCACAAAAAGCTCAGGGGAGTTTGAGACACCTGCAAGACGCAGCATTTTCCAAGTTGCGCCACATAAGGGTCTTTGGGTTGGGGGTCTATGGTCAATATTAGGTATCAGGATTAATGGTTAATTTTAGGTACTGAGGTCAGGGATAGGATGTCTAGGGCTAATAGAAATTCAATTTAGGGTCTGGGACGTTTAGTTGATGTGCATTTCCTACTCTTTTCAAAAATATGACAATGCGCTCCTCCTCCTCTGTCTCTTCTTGTCAATATCTGACATGAGGGGGGTACCYGACATGTCCAAAACTGGACGCAGACAACTACCTGACCAAGCGTCAATATGCAACGAGCTGGTAGTGAGAATGGATTGAAATCAGGGGTAAGTGACAAGACTGTGAAAATTTTGTCCACCATGAAAGTCACATAACATTTTATCAGCTTCCTTCTGAATGCTAGCCTGGTAAAAACCAACTTTGCTTCATACGAGGGTCTGGACTCTTGGCTACAGAGAAGCAATTCTTTCTGGAGGCGTGGCCTCTGCTGAAGTTTAAAATGACTGGATCGGTTGGTCACGACGTATGTGTGTCAGCTCCACTGTGAAGAAGGCTAAGCTAAGAAGCTAACCGGAAAGCGAGTGCGCTGTAAACAACCCTACTGAGAGGAGAGAAGTACCGAGCTGAACGAGACGACTGTAAATGAGAGCTGCTGCTTTGTCAGACAAATTTAATTTAATTTGGAAGAACACGGACTGGCTTCGTTCACTTCCTCCACTGCCGTATGCTAAACTAACTAGCAGACACTGCGCAGAAAATCGACGTCGTTCAAAACTCCTCCTTCTGTTCTCTGATTGGCCCGGATTAAAATGCTCCTGAGGAAATCCTTGTCAATGGAAGAAATCCCGGACGGAGCAGTGAAGGGAAACTAGAAGTGAGCGTAACTGCGTAGGAAGGCAAGGGCCAGGCTAACTGAATGCCATTTGTCAAACATTTACCAACAATCACAATCCAGTAAGATTCTGGCTTTATGTACACATTCATTGATAAAGTGTAAAACTGATAGGATGAAGGCTAAAAATTATAGTATTTCTGCTAAAATTCAGTGATTAATTTTTTTAATTTAAGTTTTTTCAAGGCACAAGTTGCACGTATTAGCAATCCCATTTCAAGAGGTAAAGCCTTAAGCCCCTATTTCTTTTAATTCTGTTTTGTTTAGCAAAATAAGTCAATTTCTGCAGTATTATAGAACAAACAAGTTTTTTTTAATCAGAACATGGATGGGTCACTTGTATAAAGATTCTGGCTCTGATGATACAGAAAAAAAAATAAGCCAATGATTGGTTAGCAGAGCTCTGAGTGTGTGTCCAAGTCCGAAACAACCACAATGACATGAAGCATTGAGCCTCAAACCACAGAATAATGTTAAAGCATGTTCCACAAACTATAAACTACAACTTTCTGCTCCTGTAATTCATGTCAGCAACACAAACCAGAATATCCTGAAAATAAAACCACTTACAAAAATAATACCCTTAAAATACGTCTATGTGGTGTTCTGCAGTATATATATGGTGTCTTTATAGTTCTGGAAGTTCTTACTGTCTAATCCCAGAGACAGGTCCTGCCAGGTCCCATGTGTGCCGTGTCCAGTTGAGCCACTGCTGGCTGTGTGCAGGGACCAGCTCACACCTGAATGGGGGTCTGCAGACCACCCGCACAAGCTCTGCTCAAAGTCGCACACGCCTGACAGCGACGGCGAGGTGGCTGTAAGTTAAAAACAACAAAAAGATCATAAATAATATCACGGTTTTCATTGAACCAAACATCTTTAACTCTTGTTTTTCTAATGTTTCTAATTATTAAAATGCTTATTTCTGATTTTTTTTAAAGGAGTAGCAGTTTTAGTCATTTTAAAGCCAGAAATATAAGAAAGAAAGATGGGAAATGAAATGATAAAAACTGCTGTTTAACCACGACCGCTGCACTTAAACTCCAGCGAGACTTTTTGCCTGACAGTCAGTTGACCTATAGCTGTGAAATCATATTCCCAGTGTGTGTCTGCGTGTACGAGGAGGTTAAGATCCTCTGGCTGCGAGAGCTTATTTTCCTTCAAACGCAGCTTCCTGTGGGACTCTTGAATGTAAGAGACTTCAAAGCCCAGAGGCCTCGTGGTGTGCAGTGACATCATGACTTTGACCTTAAGAGCGTGGGTGTGCGTGGATGTGAGACAGGCGTAAATAAATAAATAAATAAATAAATAAATAAGATCGGCTTGCAAGAAATCTACATTTGTTAGCAGGAGACGCTACGAAGCATCAGTGTTTACCTGGTCTCATCGCAGGAGTCGTCTGTTCCACTCTGGGAGTTGTGGGGGTCACCGTGTCTGGCAGAGTGGTCATTTCTGACAGGAATAAATAAATAAATAAATAAATAAATAAATAAAACTTATACAAAGAACAAGAAAACATTTCAGTTTGTTGAGATGAGAGAGGAAACAAGTTAATTTTTCATGATGTCACTTCTATGTATTTACAGTTGTTTATTTTCTAATGTACAGCGTACTTGGGTGTCCTGAACGGTGCTTCATAAATATAATGCATTATTATCATTATTATCATTATTATTATTATTATTATTATTATTGTCGCT